ACTACTACTACTTCTACCTACTACTATTACTACTACTACTACTACTACTACTACTACTACTACTACTACTGCTACTAGTGCTACTCCTACAATTGCCACTACCGCTGACACGACGACGACGACTACTACTACTCCTGCTGCTGCTGCTGCTGCTGCTGCTGCTGCTGCTGCTGCTGCTACTATTACTTCGCTTGCTGCTACTCCTACTGCTCCTATTCGTGCCCTGCTGTGTCTACAACAACTTCGCTGCCGTCGTTGTTGCATGTTGTTGGGAATTGTCCTCGAAGCCTGAACAAACCTCTTGTGCATAAGGCTGCCTGGGAAGAGCATGGTAAAGAGAACCGACGCCACGGCGGATAGAAGCGTCGCACTTAGCCTTGGGTCTAGGAAACACATTGAGAATGAGGTTCTACGTCTACACAGGATGTCGCAGGCACGTAAGGTAAGCTCTTGCCAGATAGACACCTACTCGCAGGGATCTACCCGAGAGTCTAATGTACCAGTTCCGTAATTGGCAGTTTCCTACCAGGGCTACCTGGTTTCTAGTGCGCTCTCTGAGCACAACCGGCTTTAGAAACCAGAAGTGCGAGGGCTGGGCGGGGGTACATGGCACTGCGTAAAAGCCTGCCCATACACATCGAAACACAGAAGGGCTCTGCTTTAATGAGGCCGTACAACACATCTAACAGGGGTCGATGCCGAGAAAAGGATGGCGTCATAGGCGCGGATCATCATAACTTACACGAGGATCAAGCAGGGGGTCTCAGTCTCTAAGGGCAGGGGCGTCTCATAGGTTCGGCTGTCCAGCATGAGGGCCTTCCAGAATAGATTCAACTTATCCAGATTGTTGCCAAACAGTTCACTAACAGGCCGGGCAGGATGCGTCGACAGACAAGGCCGAGACTTTCTGAAACCCAAACTTGCGACTGCCAGCCCTTACGAAGTTTAGCCTGAAGACCATACTCACCACTGAGACTCACCACGAGAGCGTGCTAGCCTCAGTAATGGCGCGTGGAACCTAGCGGAGGCTAAACTGCGGTCCCTGAAGTTTGAAGCCTACCCTAAGGGTCCCTGTACACAAATAGTATATACTTTGGCCTTAATGTAGTCCCTATATAATTTAGGCCCAATGTATATACTATTTGGGCACATGGACCCTTAAGGCTATGGGCTATGATGTTCCAAAAAAGTCCACCGGGGGCCCACGCAGTGAAAAGACCACCGTGCCACAAATCGTAAACACAGCAGCCTGCTGAACTCCGACTGCAACGGAGCTTGTCTCAAGGCTTTCGGCGCTAGATTTCAAGATTTAGGGGTTAATGTATGAACCTGATTTAGCAACCCTGGGTCTTTATCAGGGTTCTTAATATGAAGCCTAATGTATTTGGGGTTATAGGGCCAGGGTTTCCTAATCAGGTTCCTACATCAGAATTTGCCGGCTGCCAGGTTCGCGGGATGCTCATGCTGATGATGACAATGACGATGATGATACTGGAGATGATGCTGATGACAATGGCGATGATGATGATGATGATGATGATGCTGTCATGGAGGAGTTTCTGAGTTTGTGGAACTGGCTTTCCAGCTTGCCGCACCAGGAGAGAGCTTAAAAGCTGGACGTGTGGGGCAAAAACAAATGTCGACTGCAGGAAGATCGGACCTTGGCCGTGCAAATTGGAGGTCAGGGAGATCCAAGACAAGTTCCTAAGACTTGGCCTGTAAATCACCAAAAAAATACCTGAATACACCATCACCTTCTCGCCGCAATCGGGCTATGTCCCAAAGGGGCGCAGCCACTTCAATCCAGGCAGTCCCTCCCCTCCCCAGGGTCGCTCCTCGAACTTCAACTCCCGACCAGAGCTGGCAATGCAATCAAGGAGAACAGGCTGTGAGGGGATGTTATCGGCTCTGACAGTCTGGTCTGTATGTATGGTTAGGGGTTGAGGGTTTGCATGCAGGCGTAAATTTATGCAGCAGTTTGTGCATGCATGCATGCATGCAGGCAGCAGGCAGGTCTGTATGTAAGTAATCATGTTATGTATGCATGCGCTCGTTCATACATATGATGAGTGCTATGTCTTGTTGTGTTTACAATGTTTTACAGAACAACACGAGCAAAGTAGAACTATTCACTAGCCTCAGTAGCCACTGGTAGCTGCGGCCATGATGCACTGCGACTTTATGAAACCTCGAGTAGCAGACTCGAGAGACTTCCAGGAACCGCTAAAGTGGCAGCAGGGCCTTTAAGGTTTAGGGTTCAGGGTTTAGGGATGATTTTTTTGCCTCCTACTTAGCAAGGACAAGCCCGCATTGCAGGGTACATTGACGTCTCAGAGTTTGCACATCAATGATTCAGGGTTTAGGGTTCAGGGCCTATGAAAATTAAAAAGCAGAGGAACATTCGGACAATCCTTTTTGCTTTGCAGCAGGCCGCTTTGCAGCCGGTCGTTTTGCAGCAGGCCGCTTACGATGCTGGAGCACCTCTTTGGTGTCAGCTGTAGCTATCGATTTTGCCTTGTGCTTGGCCTTTCCCTTGGCCTTGGCCTTGGCCTTGGCCTTGGCCTTGGCCTTGGCCTTGGCCTTGGCCTTGGCTTTTGCCATCTTAGCCTTCGCCTTGGCTGCAGCCAGTGCCAAAGCCTGTGACAAGATCTTCTCATCCTCAGTCGACCGGCCTAGATCTTTACTAACGTCTCGACTGTCACCCCCGAAGTTCCCACGTCCCCAAGTTACAACTGAGCCATCAGCCCTGATCGCAGCAAAAGCTGCTTCATTGGCTTGGATGCAAGTCACGTTTTTCAGCTGTCCTTGCGCCGCACCTGTGCAGCCCCCGAAGCCTTTGGCCCCCCAAACCACCACTGATCCATCCTCTCGTAGCGCTGCGAAAGCTGCATCGCTTGCTTGGATTGCTTTCACATCGTGCAGCTGGCTCCGCACTGAACTCGTGACCGATGCTTTCTCTCCCCAGCTGACCACTGTCCCATCAGAGCGCAGCGCAGCAAACGCCCGGCCTGAGGCCTGCATTTGCACAACGTTGGTCAGCTGCTGCTGGACAGCCGTGCTGTCACCACCAGACGGCCCAAAACCCCATGTCACAACAGTTCCATCCTTGCGGAGCGCCGCGAAAGCACCGCTTTGGTTTACTTGTATGCACGCAACCTCTCCCATCTGCTGGCGCTCCAAGGAGCTGAGAGACCTCGACTTGCGCAAGTTGCCAAAGGGGCCCCAGATGGCGACATGCCCATCCTTGCTTACGGCAGCACAAGAGTTGTCAAAAAGCTGAAGCTGTTGCACGTCTTGCAGCTTTGTGTCAAAGGTGCCTCTCACTGGATCACCCTCAATGCTTCCAAAACCCACATCTGCATAATATTCATCGGTAAACCCCCAGAATACCACATGCCTGCTGGCGGTGACCGCACCGAAGCCGCAGAAGCCTGCCTTGATGTGCAAGACATCCCTCAGCTTGCTCTGCACACTGGCACTGCACCCGCCCACGTCTTCCCCACCCCATGTCACCACACTTCCATCCCTGCGCAAGGCGGCAAAGGCATTCCCAGCTGCCGCTATGCAACAAACATTTCGAAGATGATCGCGCACCGAGGAACTGTTTCCGCCAGCAGCTTCACTTCCCCAAGTTACCACCGTCCCATCTGCTTTGATGGCGGCAAATCCCTCAAACGATGCTTGAATCTGCTCCACGTCTTGAAGTTGGCTCTGAACAGATTCGAATCTCACATCCGCGCGCGGCTCGTCGTCGTTGCTGTCCGATGTGAAAGGAGGATCATAAAAGTCCTGGTTAGGAGTCAGATTGCCCCATGCAACTACCACGCCATCTCCTCGGAGCGCAGCGAAGGCTAAATCCGAGGCTTGGATCTGCTGTACGTCATATAACTGATGCTGGACGGCACTGCTGTCCCCTCCGCTCTTGCGACAGCCCCATGTCACAACAGTGCCATCTGCCCGGATGAGAGCGAAGGCACTGCGAGTTGCTGCAACAGCGACTGTCTGCTGGACGGCCGTAACCGTGTCTCCATCCCGGATCCCTGCTTGCACCAATGTGTCCGAAGTGCTTGACAAGGTGCCAGAAGTACCGATGAATTTCCCTACAGGTCTTCGCAACGCAGCCTGGGCCTTCTGTCGCAGGTCAGCCACTTTTTCATCTTCATGCATCAGAACTGTTGCATGGATGCCGCTTAGCAGGTTCACCCTGACAGAAATCGGCATGGCCAGCACACGATTGAAGATCTACATGGACACAATGCCCTGTTTTGCTTTGTCCATGGCATTCAGAACTGGGATGTGTTCTTGTCACAGGCTACGACCTGCGAACCCTATCTTTCATAGCTTTACATCTGGCTGAAGCTGGCAATCTCTCATCTTCTATCCCCCCGACGGGCTTGCGAATGACAGCGTCCAGAGCCCAATGCGTACAGAGCTCCTTACATGGAGTAGAAATTCCCAGGAGGAGGTCTTCGGTTCCTTGTAGTAGCGATGGCGAATCTTCAACTCCTGCATGATTGCCGGCTTAATGCCGAAGGTGCAGGATTTTGGGTTTATGGTTCTTAAGCTGTCGGCGGCTGTCCTGAATGGAATCTGCTTTAAGCTCTGCGAAAATGCACTGTAGCTGCTCTAGCCTAGTGTCTGCCAAGTGACATGACACTCGCGCAGGTGAGACATTACGATTAGGATCAGAAGTCCACTTCGCTGCCGGCCGGGCTGCTCAAACCAACCTGCAAGTTAACCTGCAAGTCGTGCTGCTCAGACCCAGACAGTGAGAACTCTGGCGTTTGTGTTGCGGCTTCGGCCCACGGCTCTGATGCCGGTGCAAGGTCAGCGGTGGAAGCGATGCGCGTACGTAAAAGGTTGAAGACAACGAAGATGCAGGGACGGTCCACCCACTTGAACACATGCACCAGGCACCTGTCTGCAAACGGAGCCCTCAGCCATAAAAGCCTGACCTTTGGTCTCAGGATCCATCTGAGTCATAAACAGAATACCCACCACTGTCCGAATCGTGGTCCCAGTCCCATTCCTGAGCACAAGAGCTGCATCTGATATTTGTTTGAAGCATATTTCATGAGCTTTCAGGTCTCGTGTCCTGGCGCAAATGCCGTTCAGCTGGCTGAAGGTTAGGATTTTAGATCGTGCTCGCGGATTGAAGTGATGCACAACCCCGTCCGAAATCATTCTTCTCTTTGTCTGCCCTGCAAGTTCGTCTGTTTTCCTCAGCGTGAAGCAGCCTTCGCGAGCCACGTGTTTGAAGCATCGTTGTACCAAAGGATGGGGGGCGGGCGCTGGTACTTCATGGCAGGGTAATAGCAGCTGTGACAATCGAAGGCGTTGTGATAGCACCAGCAGCACCAACAGCGGCAGTGGCAGCTTCAGTAGTGGTAGCCGTAGCAGCAGCAGTAGCAGTAGCATGGTGGCAGCGGGAGCGCGAGCAGGAGCAGGAAGGGAGTAGTCGTAACAGTAGCAGTAGTAGTAGTAGTCGT